CAGTGGAAAAGCCCAAGTGGTTGTTTTAAAACCAGTCACATTTACTGCTGTTAAAACCACTTCTAGGAAGGAAAAAGCCTAAGAACGGCCACACCGGGTCAGACCAAAGGTTCATGTTGCCCAGTGTCCTGTCTGCTGACAGAGGCCAATGCCAGGGGCCCCAGAGGGAATGAACAGAACAGATAATCATCAAGTGACCCCTCTCCCATTATCCATTCCCAGCCTCTGATAGAGGCTAAGGACACCATTCCTATCCTCCATGGATTTATCCTTCATGGATCTATACTCCATGAATTTATCTAGCTCTTTTTTGAACCCTGTGAAATTCCTGGCCTTCACAATATCCCCTGGCAAGGAGTTCCACAGGTTAACTGTGGGCCGTGTGAAGAAATATCTCCTTTTGTTTGTTTTAAACCTGCTGCCTATTAATTTGATTTGGTGACCTCTAGTCATCCGACACTAAGGGTACGTCTAGACTACATGGCTCAGTCGACAGAGCCATGTAAAATAGTTTACTCGGCATAGTCAAAGAAGCAGGGATTTAAATAATCCCCGCTTCATTAAAATAAAAATGGCCGCCGCACTGTGCTGACGATCAGCTGATCCGGCACAGCGCGGCAGTCTAGACGCCTCGAGAAATGAGGTTTACCAGAGCGGTCGACAAAGGCTTCCCTTGTCGACTGCGCTACGTCTAGACTGCCGTGCTGCGCCGGATCAGCTGATCGTCGGCACAGCGCGGCGGCCATTTTTATTTTAATGAAGCGGGGATTATTTAAATTCCCCTTCTTTCACTATGCCGAGTAAACTATTTTACATGGCTCCGTCGACGGAGCCATGTAGTCTAGACATACCCTTAGGCTATGTCTACACTGTGGAGCTATTTTGGGATACCGGAAGTATCCTGAAATAGCTATTCCGCGTCTTTAAAGCAGCCCGCTTTTTCGAAATAGTTTTTTGAAATAGCGGGCACGGTATTCCGGCGTCCCTGTAACCCTCATTCCAAAGGATATTTCAGAATAGTGCTTTATTTAAATTTCGAAATAAGCTATTTTGAGGTAAGGGTGACGTGTAGATCCATAATCCCTGATATCCATAATCCATCAATAATAAGAGTTTACTTGAAATATGATTGAGATATCCCCAGGCCCGTTCACAGTATCCTCTCTGGTCATTCATCAGGAATGAAGAGTCTGATCTTTTTTCCCCCCAGACGTAGTAACCGATCCTTTGATGATATATTGAACAGGCTGATTTGTACTTTTGTTTGTGTGGGGACAATAAAAATATTTTAAAACTTGCAAGTGCCCAGATGTTCCCATGTGCTCCTCATGTCCAATTTAGGGTTTATTTTCTGGATCGTCCGTTTGCAGTAAACGATGTTTCGGGGGAAGGATTTGTTCAAATGAGTGGGCGCAGGAAGGGGGCTGTTCTGGGTGGGTTTCTGTGCATGCATGCGTATGAGAAGTCAAGTTATTCTGAAACGGGTGGCTCATTTTGAAGCCATGTGGGCTGCTTTCTGGTTTGTGATCCTGCTAGTTGTTAAAGTTGCTGGGTGCAAATCGAAAACATTTTTTGCGGGGGGAGGGGGGGGATCTGTGATTTTATATTAGACCCATTTAAAATGTGCAACCTGCTTGAAGTACAGGACACATACTGCAAAAAGGAGAAGCCTGCAGCTGGCCTTAGCAACTAGCCCAAGTGTGTGGCTGTACGGTGTGGGTCTTGTTGCAGCCACCTTGCTCTGTTAATTCTGAGGTACGGCTCGTGAAGACTACAGGTCCCAACATGCAATGTTCTGTCAAGATCAGAGTGCCTTTGCTGGAGCAGTGCATGCTGGGATCTGTTGCCTCTGTCCATTACACCCCCCCTCCATGCTTAACAAAAACAGGGCAAGCAGTGCAGGGGAATTCCCATGGTTGTTTTTGCACGAGGCTTTGTCTGCCTGCAGTGTGGCAGAGAATGGAGGGGACGGGATGCTCCTGCCTTCCATGGAGACATCAGCACCTTCTTCCTGCTGGAATCACCCCTCCGAGACAGGATGGGCATGAAGCAGTGATTCCAGAGGAACAGCCAGGGCTTGGATATGTCAGCTGGGGTATCCCCTTGCAAGTGGCTGTTTGTTTGCCTTGTGGCTTTGTCTGCCTGCAGTGTGGCAGAGAATGGAGGGGACGGGATGCTCCTGCCTTCCATGGAGACATCAGCACCTTCTTCCTGCTGGAATCACCCCTCCGAGACAGGATGGGCATGAAGCAGTGATTCCAGAGGAACAGCCAGGGCTTGGATATGTCAGCTGGGGTATCCCCTTGCAAGTGGCTGTTTGTTTGCCTTGTGTGGGGACGGAAGCTGCCAGGCTGGAGCCCCCCACCCTCCCATCCCCGTTTAATCAGTTAACCAGTTAAACTGAATGTTTAACCAGTTAACTAATTAAACGGGATTTTACATCCCTAGTCGCTGCCTGAAAGTGGAGTCTCTACCCTGCTACCTAGCTCTTTTCATGAATAGATCTGAAAGGCCTTTCCAAAGAGGTAGCATCACCGCCCCCCCCCATTTTACAGATGGGGAAACTGAGGCACGGAGTGAGGAAAGTGACTTGCCCAAGGTCATCTAACAGGCCAGAGGCAGAGCCAGAAATTGAATCCAGATCGCCTGAGACCCAGGCCAGTGTTCTAGCCAAGAGACAGCAGAGAGACCCAACTAAGACCAGGCGGGAGTTATTCCCATCAGTCTAATAAGCACCTGCCCCAGTCACCGCCCAGCAGTCTGCAGGGAGGGTGAAGGAGGTGAGTTTTAAGGCAAAATGAGCGGGAAATTAAAGTGGTCTTGGACCAGCAATTGCAAGCAGGGCTCTTCTCTACGTGCAGGGCAACCTCATTGCAGCAGACTAAATGAGCATAAATCTAGAGTAGGCCAAGAAAGGAAACTGCCTAGGAATGGAGCCCTGGCCGGCAAAGGGAGCCCACGGAATTGCGTGGTTTGTTTTCAGACCATGAGCCATGTTCCCTGTAAGCTGAGTGCTTGTGCGGCCACCCAGGAGGATTCAGCTGCTGCCCAGCTGATTGGCAGCGCGCCCACCTCCAGCAGCATGAATGTCTACTGGTGGTGCACATCCACATCTTCCTTGGTGCATGTCACAAAATTTATTCTGCGTGCATATAGAAAAAAAGTTAGAGGGAACATTGACCACCAGTGATTTATTCCAAAAGGAGGGGGGCAAGGAAATTTCCCATCTCTAACCCGCTTGTCTTTTGGCTCTACATGGTCAGCCACCCCTCAGCCTGGCAGTGAATTTCTCCCTTTATTAGGGTAGCATTCAAAGACAGACTATTTACCTAGATCTACAGCTGCAGAACCTCGGATGGCACAGGATGCCAGGGATGAATCGCAAGCTGCTCTGAGCCCGGAGATGGGTGCACCGCCCTGCATTTCTCACACGCAAACGCGGCGCAGGCAACACAGATGCCGTTGGCTGGCCTTTGGCACCAGCCTTTAGATCAGAAGGATCCATTTTACACTTCCTCTCCCCTGTACCAGACAACTGGCCTTTCTACTGAGGGAAGCCCGAGGGCGAGGAAGCGGGAGAGAAGCATCCTTGCTAAGACGCACCTTAACCCCTTGCTGTCCAGGATCACTAAAGCAAGTTGCCCCGCACGTGGAGAAGAGCCCCGCTTACAATTGCTGGTCCAAGGCCTCTTTGATTTCCCCTAATTTTGCCTTAAAACTCACCTCCTTCACCCTCCCTGCAGACTGCTGGGCGGTGACTGGGGCAGGTGCTTATTAGACTGATGGGAATAACTCCCGCCTGGTCTTAGTTGGGTCTCTCTGCTGTCTCTTGGCTAGAACACTGGCCTGGGTCTCAGGCGATCTGGATTCAATTTCTGGCTCTGCCTCTGGCCTGTTAGATGACCTTGGGCAAGTCACTTTCCTCACTCCGTGCCTCAGTTTCCCCATCTGTAAAATGGGGGGCGGGCAGTGATGCTACCTCTTTGGAAAGGCCTTTCAGATCTATTCATGAAAAGAGCTAGGTAGCAGGGTAGAGACTCCACTTTCAGGCAGGGAGTATGGATGTAAAATCCGTTTAATTAGTTAACCGGCTAAACATTACATTTAACTGGTTAACTGATTAAACGGGGATGGGGTCGTGGGGGGCTCCAGCCTGGCTGCTTCTGTCCCCACAGGAGGCTGCCGGCTCCAGTTTTGTGTAGGGCTGCTGCTTCCGGCCTTGCATGGGGCTGCCAGCTCCCAGCCTGTGTGGGCCAGGAGCCGACAGCCCCACAAGGTGTGAGGAGGGTCCTACAGCAGCCCCAGGCATGATCCCTATATGCATAAATAGCAGTAACGGAACACCACTTCACCCGGGTGGAAGGATGCTCAGGGCCACATGCTGTGTTGCCATGGCAACTCAGATGGACGGATGCTGCAGGGGGAAGCGACAGCCCGCTGGCTGCATGCAGTTGTGTGGTTGTTTCCAGGCAGCCTCTTCAGGGGCCGTATGGGGCAGAGGTGAGCCTGGGGCGAGGGCCTAGGCCTGGCCTCACCTCCCAAGGCTGCTGCTGAGGGAGGGTCTGGGCGTGAGGGGTGACTGCCTGGCAGAATCGGGCCCTGGCCTAGGCCTCTAACCGGGGGGAAGAGGCTGGTTCCTGCCGCAGCCCCGAGCCGCCCAACTGCTGCTTGGTGAGGAGCCGGGGGCAGGTTGCTGGGCGCAGCCCACAGGTGGCAAGTGAAGCCAACGGTACCTCGGTCCTTTTGCCGAAGTTCCGGGTCTGCTGAGAGGCCGGCGCGGCCCAGCCCCATGGTTGGAGCTGCTCCTCTCGGGCCAGTCAGGGCTCTGGCAGGGGGCAAGGCTTCCTGGTGAACGTGCACGTGCATGGCGGCCCACAGACTCCCCCCCGTGCACGGGCCCACCGAGTCTGTGGGTGTGAGAAATACCCGGTGCCATCAGCAGGCCTGTTGGCTCGCCAGGGGCTCCTCCCAGGCCGGGGGGTTTCAGCCTTTTGTCCCGTGTGGATGCCTACGAAATGGCGGTGCGGACTCCTTTGGAAAACGTAGTCACAGTCTGAGGCCCCTCCGGGGACCCCCAGACCACAGGCGGTAAACCACTGCTCAAGTTCGTCCCCCGGAGCCCTAGGCACAGTCCTTCCCTGCCGTATACTCCGCAGAGCCACGTCCAGCCTCGCTGAAAAGGCCCAAAGTCCCAGGGTGCACTGCCCCTCCGGGGAGACGGTGCCACCGCCTTGACGTTGTGCTGGGTCTTGCTGTGTGTGGGCGGTTGACAGGGAGGAAGGATCGGGAGCGGGTGTTGATGACCCAGCCACCAGAGTCCTGGTCCGGTGCAGAGAATGAGCCACCCTTCCCACCTCCCCTGCAGTCCCACAGCACAGCGGGGTGCCCACGGGCTTTTGGGTATTGGCAGCGGGCTGGAGTGCAGCCGCTGTACTGTGAGCTGTGCCAGCTCCTAGCTCTCCTCTTCTCTCGGCAGGACGCGGTACTCGACGCCTGTTACCGAGGGTGCCGGCTGTTCTCCATCTGTCACTTTGTGGATGTGAGCGCCGAGCTGAACGCAACCAGAGCCGAATGCGAATCAGGTAAAGAACAGCACAGCCAATTAACGTTCCCTCCCCTCTTCTCCCGCCGCCCCCTCTGTTACATTGTCCAGAAGGAGCTTCTCCACTTAGGCTGTCAGGACAGAGACTGTTTCTGCTCCTTCTGCACCCCCATGCCGTCCAGAGAAAGTGCCACGGCCGGGGTGCACTGTGGTGCAAATCCAGACCAGTTCCACTTGCTCCTGGGTGCAAATCTGGAGCAGTTCCACTTGTGTACTACAGCAAGCAATCGTTTCTTTCCTCCCTGGTGTAAATCCAAACCGGCTCCATTCTCTCCCTGGTGTAAATCCAAACCGGCTCCATTCTCTCCCTGGTATCCAGCCTGGCTGCACTTGCTCCCTGGTGCAAATTAAGGCTGGCTCTGCTCACTCTCTGGTGCAAATTAAGGCCGGCACCATTCACGCCCTGGTGCAAATCTGGGCCAGTTCCACTTGATTCCTGGTGTAAATCCGGACCAGTTCCACTCATTCCTGGGTGCAAATCCAGACCCGCTCCACTCACCTTGTGGTGCAAACCAGGGCCAGCTCCACTCAGTCCCTAGTGCAAATCATGGTGGTCTCTGTGCACTTCCTGGTGCAAATCAGGACAGAGCTCCTGGAAGATGGAGGGTCACGTGGGGGCAAGGCCCCAGATGAACCCAGTGGGGCTGTGACCATAGCAAACACCAAGGGGATTAATAATGTTCCGACTGGGATTTCACCCTCTCAAAGGGATGGGAGAAGAGAGGTGAGGATCCTGTGCTGCAGCACACTCCGCCCCCCCCCCCCCCCCCCCGCCCCGGCCTTCCCCACTGCTGGAGCCTCGCCACCAGGCTGCTGCAATGATGTAACGTGCCCTCTGCAGCGACCTAACACCCCTCGTCGGGCTGAAGGCTGCCCAGTGAGCTCCCAGCACCATGTGAGCCGGCCGTGAGCCGGCGGGGCTTCCTGCCCCCCCCCGGTGGCGATGCACTACCATGCCGTGCCCTTCCCTACAAGGGATCCCACAGCGGTTTCCAGAGCCTCGCTGAACTGCAGCTGCCTCTGGGGAGGAGCAGCCGGGATTCAGCGCCGGGGAGGGTGGACTTCGTAAGCGAGGCTCTTTGGGCAAACCCCTCCCCTTGTGAAAAGTGCTCCCACCTGGAGGCTTTCATGGCCCTGCAGAGTCGAGGAGGCCTCAGCCTCTCAGGTATTGTAGGAGACACATTGCTGGGGTGCCAGGGTAGCCTGAACTGCAGCTGCCTCTGGGGAGGAGCAGCCGGGATTCAGCGCCGGGGAGGGTGGACTTCGTAAGCGAGGCTCTTTGGGCAAACCCCTCCCCTTGTGAAAAGTGCTCCCACCTGGAGGCTTTCATGGCCCTGCAGAGTCGAGGAGGCCTCAGCCTCTCAGGTATTGTAGGAGACACATTGCTGGGGTGCCAGGGTAGCTGCTTGGAATGGGGGCTGGTCGGGGTGCTCTGTGGGTGATGGTCCCTTGGAAGGGGTTTGGCTGGTGCACCTGGCTCTCAGCCCTGGAGTAGCTCGGGGCAGAGGAACACTGGCAGCTACCCTGGGAACCCTGGGCCGGCATAGCAGGGGGCTGTGGATTTTCTGGCCGAGCAGTGTAGGGTGGGTGGACACCCCTGCTGTCCTCTGCCTGGCTCTAGGCCGTGCTGCCGGCCCCTGGTTGTCCCGGGCTCTGAATCCACTCGCCGCCTGGTTGTGAGATGCCCGGGCCTTGACTGTTCCTTCCCTGCCTCTCTTGCAGCTTGTATTGAGGCCTACGGCAGCGCGGAGGAGCAGTTCGGCTGCACCACTGGATGCAGAAAGCAGCTGCCCGAGGCGCAGGGCTGGAAAGACAAGGTGACCGCCTCGTGGCAGCGTCTATGGATCCTAGTCTGAGATCCGCCCCCGCAAAGATCCCCTCCTGCTGCCTGCTCAGTTGTGCGGCGTGGAGGCCAAGGAGCAGCAGGAGTTTCATTCCCATGAGGGTCGGAGGCTCCTGGGATCAGGATTAGCGCCAGGGTGCATTCCAGGCGGGGGCCGGCAGCCAGCTATTACTCATCGCTGCCTCGTGGCAGCGTCTATGGATCCTAGTCTGAGATCCGCCCCCGCAAAGATCCCCTCCTGCTGCCTGCTCAGTTGTGCGGCGTGGAGGCCAAGGAGCAGCAGGAGTTTCATTCCCATGAGGGTCGGAGGCTCCTGGGATCAGGATTAGCGCCAGGGTGCATTCCAGGCGGGGGCCGGCAGCCAGCTATTACTCATCGCTCTGCAGCGGCGAGCTGACCATCTGGCCAGCAGATTGGGTGAGCCGGGGGAAATCCTGGATCGGTCGCACCTGGAATGGAGGCCCCTTCTGCAGACAGCGCTGGTCCTTCCAGGGTCGTTTGATGCCACAAATGACAGTCGTGCCCCTCACTCGCCGCTCGGGGCTGTCTCTCCCGGTGCCCTGTTGTTTTGTTCCTACTCAGGTTTTCTAGTCATTCTTGGATAATTTGGGGTTCACTTTGATGAAATATATGAGAGAGATGTGGATGTAAGGTGGAATCTCAGGCTAGGTCTACACTATTGCTTTTTTGTGTGAAAAAGCTCCGCAAATTGTGCTCCGCAATTTGCGGTGCTTTTTCCAACTGTTTTTCCTCCTCTTTGAGTACATCTGCACTAGCCCCATAGATTTATCTAGGGAGGCTAATGAGGGCGACCGAAATTGCAAATCAAGCCTGGGATTTAAATATCCCACGCTTGATTTGCATGTTCCCGGCCGGTCGCCATTTTGGAAATTGACTAGCCCGAAGAAACTGCCCGGGTCTACACGCGGCATTGAAATGGGATTCTGATTTAAAGCCCCTAAATCGAATTAGCTGGTAAACCTCATTGCAGGAGGAATACCAGCTAATTCGAGTTAGGGCTTTAAATCGGAGTCCCGTTTCACTGCCACGTGTAGACGCGGGCAGTTACTTCGGGCTAGTCAATTTCTAAAAATGGCGACCGGCCGGGAACATGCAAATCAAGCGTGGGATATTTAAATCCCGGGCTTGATTTGCAATTTCGGTCGCCCTCATTAGCCTCCCTAGATCGATCTAGAGGGCTAGTGTAGACGTACCTTTCAGAGGAGCCCTTGTTTCTTATGAGACGAGGAATGTAGGGTTCCCCTAAAGAGCGTGTTTGCTCTTCCACAAAAAAAAGTGGAAGAGCAGACGCGTTCCCTGGACGCGGTGGGCTTTTTCCGGGATACCTCCGTTTTTTCCAGGATCCCAGAAAAAACCCTTGGTGTAGACATAACCGCACAGAGAAAGGCACAGGCCAAATCCCCCCAATCTCCCAGCTTCGTGCCTCAGGAAAAGACCACCCTGCCCAGCTCAGGACAGGCACTGCAAGCTTATGAGTTGTCTCACCACTTCATCAATGGCAAGTGGGTGTACAGCAGTCTCCATAAACCTGAGCCGATTTACCAGACACTTCAGGCGAACTCACTGGTACGAACAATCGCTCAGGGTGTGTCTAGACTACAGGGTTTTTTCGAAAAATCTTCCCCTGCATCTAGACTGCTGCCGCATTCTTTTGAAAGGAAATCGAAAGCACGCGGCAGTTTTTTCGACCGCGGAAAACCTCGTTGTGGGAGGAAGAACGCCTTTTTTCGAAAGTGCTCTTTCGAGAAAAGGCGCTAAGTTATGCAAACTGTGCTTTTTCGAAAGAGAGCATCCAGACTGCCTGGGTGCTCTCTTTTGAAAAACGGCTTGCCTTTGCGAAAGTACTGGTTGTCGTGTCGATGGTCTTTTTCGAAAGAGGCTTGCTGTCTAGACACAGCCTCAGAGAAGTGTGCTGACTAGAAAAGATGGGTCTGAAGTCAGAGTCAGTGATCAGACACATCAAATCCAGGCCTGCGGTCTAAACTCTCAACCCTGTTAGACAGGACACCGTGTCTAGATGCAGGAGTTTGGATATTGCAGTTCACAGGACACCGGTCGCACCCTGGAGCCCTGGGCTGGGCCGGATGGCGGCATGGGCGAGCCGGGCTGCTGCCCAGGGCGCCAACCCATGGGGGCGCCTGATGGCAGCTGGAAGGGGCGTGTGGTGTCCCTTACAGCTGCCATCAGGAGCCACACGCCCGGCTCCCACAGCGCTGGCCCGCCTGCATCCCCACGGCACCAGGCAGCAGCGCCCTTCCACCCACGGCTGCGGGGCTCTGCACAGCCCAGCACACGCTCCAGCAGTGCTGGCCGGGCCAGGCTGGGCAGTGAATGCGCTATGCATCCTGGGGGTGGGCCCCGGGCTGCGCGCCAGCGGTAGTGGCTGGCACGCGCATGCGCTGTGCGCCCCAGGGGGTGGGCCTGCGCATGCGCCCTCAGCCCGTGGACAGTGCTGCGCTCTCGGGTCCAGGGCGCCAAAAGGGCTCGGGCCGGCCCAGGCCGGGCCACCAGGGGGTCCCGGGGGCAGGCCCCTGACTTTGCACCAGTGGCTGTGGCTGGCGTGCACATGTGCCGTGTGCCCAGGGGGCAGGCCCGCGCCCCATGGGTGGGCCTGCGCATGCGCACAGGTGGGGTGAGGAGGAGAGACCAGCAGGCCTGGGTGGGGCCTGTGTTGTGTCCATGTGCTTGTTGGATCTCTCCAGGCCCGGCCGAGTCCCCCGGCGAGGTGGGGCAGTGCCCCGGTGTGGCTTTGTGCAAGCGAGTCATTGCCTGGTGACTCCCTTGCTGGACAAGGGCCCTTGATGGTTGTTTGGGAGCTGGGAGCTGGTGCTGGGAAAAGGTGCAAGAGGGAAGAGGGACCCAACCCAGCCCGGCTGCGGCAGGGCCCACCAGACATGCAGCGGGTGGATCTGGGTGCTCTCCTAGGGCCTTCGACCGTGTTCCCCCCCTTTCTGGTAGGCGGTTTGGCACGGTCCCCCAGGGGAGTGCTGCGCTTTTGGGGCAGGGCTCTGTCCCCTCGTGGCACCTGTCCACGGTGCCTGCGGGCGCCATTTCCAGAGCCGGGAGCAGGAAGGGGCACAGAAGCCAGCTGCCCCCCCAACCTTCTTCTGCACCTCAACCCCCTGCCCCAGCCTAGAGCCTGCACCCAAACGCCCTCCCAGATCCCGACCCCGCACCCCCTGCACCTAAACTCCCTCTCAGGGCCCGGCCTCGCACCCCCTGCACCCAAACTCCCTCCTAGAGCCTGGCCCCATGCCCCTCCCACACCCCAACCCCTTGGTGAAAGTGAGTGAGGCTGGGGGAGAGTGAGCGATGGAAGAAGGGGGATTCAGTGAGTGAGGGCGTGGCCTCTCAGAAGAGGTGTGGCCTCCAGGGAGAGGCGTGGCCTCAGGGAACGGCAGGGGCGGGGCAAGGGCTTTGGGTTTGCACAATTGGACAATTGGCAACCCTGGGCCGGCATGTGGGAGCCCAGGCTGTGCCAGGAGAACACACCCCGCAAGGCAGCTGGCGCCTACGACAGGCACCCTGGGGGCGGAGCATTGCTGCCCAGGAGCTTCCACCTCCCCGTGCCCCAGGGCTGGGGGGGCTGGGCCATGTGCCACCCAGGAGGCCGAAGCCACGAGCCTTCCTCCCTCCCCGCGCTCTGGGGCCGCATGTCACTGCACCTCCCCATGGTGCCCAAACAACTGTGTTAGCCTTTGGTCCTGGGTAGAGGCTTTCACCTTTGCAAGGATGGCTTTCTGCGGTGGAGAGCAAGGATCAGGCATGGGGAACCAGACTGCCGTGAGCTTCTCAGTCCAGGTGCTCAAAGGGCTTTCTATTAACTAATTGAAATGGAGACTGGCAATGAGCATTAAAGACGGGGAAATACAAGCACGGTCCAGTGACATGCCCAAGGGCGAACACAGAATCAGTGGCAGAGGGCAGTGTTTTGCTTTGGGAGGTGGACGTCTCAGTTGCATGGCTGTATCCAAGTGCCAGCTGTCCCTGTTAAGGGGACAAGCATTTGTCCCTGTGTCCCCTGAAAGAACTGGTGGAGTCGGGGGGGAAGTCTGTGAAAGGCCAGGTCCGGAGACTGGTCTGCGCTGATTGCATTCCAAACATTCCTTTAATCATTAATTCCACCCAAAGTGTTTTTCCTTTGGAGTCGTGGGCAAGCAGGCAAAGCAGATTGAGCATGATGACCAGCCTCAGAATCTGATCTATTTCTTCCCCCTTTGCTCATCTCTCTGCTCTGGCCTTCCCCGCCTTAGAAAAAGTATCACACCCCATGGCAAGGAGCCGTCAAGCAGATGCTTTAAAAAGTCACACACCTTGCAAAGAGCCAAGAATCCAGGGCATGGATAAGCTTCCTGGAGAGAAAGGCCCTTTGGCATCTCAGCTCTTTTGTTTAAGACTTTTTCATGTGAGTTCAGTGCCGGTGCAAAGAGCCTTGTTTATCTGCCGTGCTTCCTGCCAGCGCGTATTGACTCTGATCTCGGGTCCCACTCTTCCTCCAGCCTTCATGCTGAGGCTGGTGGCGCGGGGCATTAGCGGCCCTTCAAGAAGGGCACAGATGCATAGACAGTAGGAGCCCTGGACTGAGTCCTGCTGTGTCATTTCATTCCACTCACTATCCTGGGCTTTCTAGAGGTTCTCTGTCTTCTGTCCCTGTCATGGCTCCTTCCCCACTCTGGCATGATAAATGCAGAAGTGGGGGCCAGCAAGTGTACCCCAAAGCCTTATCTACCAGGCTTTGGTATAAAACTTCCCCCAAAATCTTAAAAACCTAGATCTTGGGAATAAAACTTCCGCTGCCACCACCCAAATGTTTATAAAGAAATTAGGGGGAAGATCATTTGGGAAATCTCACCCCTAAGATAAAAATCAAGGCACACCATTAACCACTGCCAGGTTAATACAAAGAAATGAAAGAACTTTTATTATTACAACAATATTCCTGATGCCAACATAATGACTAGATAGGGAGGTAACAAAATATACTCATGGAGAAACTCCATGGGCCTAGAACTTAGTTACAAAGAAAAGCCAAAACATCTTTTAAGCAGGGCCAGATCTCAGATCCCATACCCAATCCTTAAAACAATAAAACCTAACGAAACTACCTAAACTTTACCCTACTTACAGAAAATGAAGAATGGTGTCTTGGAGAGAGAGAGAGACATGCTTGTCCCTCTCTGTAGCTGCAGAGAACTCACTCCCAGAGAGACAAAAGGGAGAAAGGAAAAAAACCCAAATTCCTTTGTCCCAGTTTGAAAAGTCCCACCTACATTCCTATTGGTCACTCGACCTGGCTAGGTGTAGTTAACCCCTTAATCCCCAGGCTGCTGGCTAACCCTCATAATCATGACAGTCCCCTTTGCTGGAATATCTGAGCATCTCCATGTCATCAGTGGATTAACGGGCAGGGCTGTAATCCCCCCTTGCACACGTGGGGAAACCGAGGCACACATCAGCTCAGGGACTTGCCCCCAGTCACAGAGGGACTCTGGCAGAGCTGGGAACTGAGGTCTAGTTTCACAAGGGCTAGGCTACTGTTCTAACCACTAGTCAGTGGTTCCCAAACTTTTCAGCATCACGTCCCCTTTTTGATTGTTGAGAAACTCTCACGCCTCCCCCCCAAAATAGCAGCAAAACTTGGAATGGGAGTGACGGGGGTGCGTGTGGCTGGGTCGCCTCGCGCCCCCCCTGGAATTTCAGCATGCCCCCCAGTTTGGGAACCCATGCACTAGACTATCCTTCCACTCTCAGAAGGTTTCATAGCTCATTTAGGCCAAGAGCACTGTCATGGGTCCTTCAGCATGATCTGGTCGATATACCCGCTTGAGAGCCCTCGAGCAGAGCCTCGAGCCCAGAACTGCCTCTCCTGTGCGCGGGAAAGCGGGGCTGGGGTGGGGCAGGGCCACGGGGTGGTTCCCAGCTGAGCGAGCCGATGGCCTCTCTCCTCTTTGTTGACTCACAGAGTCTGGAGCCGCAGCCGGCGTCCTTCTCCATGTTCGACTTGGTCTCCAGCTTCTGCAACGACATCGTCAGCTCTGCCCAGAGCTTCATCTCCTCCACCTGGACCTTCTACCTGCAGGCCGACGATGGCAAAGTGGTGGTGTTCCAGGTAGGCCAGGCTCCCGCTGCGGCGGCCCTGGGGGGCGGTTGCAACAGAGCAGGGAACCCCCATGCTTCAGGGCACAAGCTGATGCTGTAGCAGGGGTCAGGAAGGGGGTTGCATTTATCCCACCCCCGCTGATCAGGTGCATTTGCCTTCCTGCAAAGAACCGGGAATGGGAGACCACATTAGATGGCCAGTGGTCTGGGATGGCAGGGAGGTAGGACTAGGGATGTAATCGTGTAATCAATTAACTGATTAACCGATGAGCAAAAGCTTATCTGTTAATGCTATAGACTACCCACGTTTCCCTCTCCCTGCCAGTGTGTTTCTCAGGCCTGGCTTGCAATGGGTCCGGGACCTACCCCTGCTGCAGCTCTGCATTTCAAGTGTATTAAGAGCTGGGCAGGCAGACAGCCCGGCTCAGTTCTAGCTCGCACTGGGTCCAGGAGCTCAGACCCGCCCTAGATTGAGGCTGCTACCACCCCACGCAGGTGCCGTCCACAACGGGAGCTGGTTTTTAAACTGGTTCCCCTCGCAGACCAGCTCCTGCCTGGCACCCCGCACTGCTGCCTCTGATACAGAGGCAGCAGTGCAGAGTGGCAGGGGGCTCCTCAGGAGGGAGGCCGGAGCGCACTGGCTGCTGGCCCCACCCCCAGGGGCTATAAAATAGTCGACTAACTGATAAAAGTTCACGAGGTTACTTGACTATTCAGTTAACCGATATAAAACATCCCTGGGCAGGATACTGGGCTACAAGATGGAGTCACGGTCCAGGGCTAGACTAGATTCTAACAGCCCTGCATGCGCGGACTAGAGAGTTTCTTAATCCCCTCCCGCCCTCAGGCACGGCTGAGGTGCAGGCATCCGAGAAGCACTCTGCACAGACAGGCTGACTGACAAACTGGTGGGTGTCGGGTTAATGCCGTCGGAGGGATCCGCCCCTCTAAATCCCAGCTGAACCTGCGCGTCCCTCGCCCCACGGGCCAGACCTGCCCCACAGGAGGTTTTGGGGCTTGGTCACCAACTGCGTGTTCGTCCTTTTTGTTTGTTTTTCAATGCTCAGTCCCAGCCGGAGATCGAGTACCCGGTGCCTGAGGTGCCGGTGCCCAAGTTGGACCTGATGGAGAAGTCGTGGCCTGTCTCCAGTTCTAACACCCTGAAACCTCACACGGGTGAGCAAGGAGCAGTGCTTGGGCCTGGGTGAGGCGAGGGGGCCAGGAGCCACTGGAAAGCTGCTTTCAGCTCTGAGCTTGTTTCTCTACAGCCCCCTGGGATGCCCAGGGTGGGTGTGGTGTCTGCCTCGGCACCCCTCTCGCCCCATGCCCCTCCTCCACCGAGCCAGGCCCGTCCCCCCTGTGCTGGAAACTTCCACACCACTGTTTCTTAAACGGTGTTCCGCGGCACACTGGTGTGCCGTGAGGCAGTTGGAGGTGTGCCGTGGGAGAACAACAGAGTTCAAAATGGCCCCCCTTAAAGGGGCAGGGGACTTTTTTTTTTTTTTGGGGCTCAATAACTCCCCTCCTCCTGACCCTTTTTTCTTTCTTTTTTGGCTCAATAACTCCCCTCCTCCCGACCCTTTTTTCTTTCCTCAACAAAAAATCCTTGGTGTTCCTCATTAAAAAAAATTATTGTTTGGTGTTCCTCGGTCTTAAAAACTTAAGAAACACTGTTCTACAGGCAAGCAGAGGCTTCGTCTTGACTTGGGGGGGGCCAGCCCCTGCTGAGGCTGCCAGTATGAGGCCCATGGGGGTGGATTTGTGCTGTGAGCACCTAGCTTCTGGGAACCAAAGCGAGACCCCCCCAAACTCGCACTGAGGGGACGGGGAGCCAGCACCCTCAGCCTGAAGGGCTTGGTGGTCTGTGCCCGACCTCCCGGGGCTCAGTTCAAGGCCTAGAACGAATGGTGTTTTTAAGTCCTTTTGGGGATGGGTTCGTTCTTCTAGGCTACAATCAAGAAGGCTCCTTTTCTGCCCCCCCAGTCCCCAGCCTTGGCACATGACCAGGGGCCCCTGATTTCACTGGGGGGGCAGGTGGCTGTGCCCAGCCTGCTGTGGAAGGGGAGTCATGTGGGCCTGGGTGTCATCCTACCAGGCCCCCAGGAAAAGCTGGAGAAACCCCCCCTGAAAGAGCCAAAGAGCAAACCCAGGATTCAGCACCCGGAGACCCAGCAGCCAGAACACGACTTCCTGGGCTGCATGTCCAAGTAGGTGCAGGCCGGGCCCTGTGGCGCGCGGGGAGTAAAGGGAGAGCCAGAAGGAAAAGGGCTGGCAAAGGGGGGGGGGGGGTACGAGGGGGAGGAAAGAGGATGGGGGCTAGGAAGAGGGGGGG